GCTGCGCTGCGTCCCCCGGGCAAGCGGCCCGCGCCCCCCGCCGAGCCTCCAGCCAAGGCCGCCAAGGCCCCGGGCACCAAGAAGCCCAAGGCCATCCGCAAGCTGCACTTCGAGGACGAGGTGACCACGTCGCCGGTGCTGGGGCTGAAGATCAAGGAGGGCCCGGTGGAGGCGCCGCGGGGGCGCGCGGGGGGCGCAGCGCGGCCGCTGGGCGAGTTCATCTGCCAGCTGTGCAAGGAGGAGTACGCCGACCCGTTCGCGCTGGCGCAGCACAAGTGCTCGCGCATCGTGCGCGTGGAGTACCGCTGCCCCGAGTGCGCCAAGGTCTTCAGCTGCCCGGCCAACCTGGCCTCGCACCGCCGCTGGCACAAGCCGCGTCCCCCAGCCGCGAGCGCGGTGTCCGCCGCCGACGGGAAGCCGTCTCCGTCGTCTTCGTCCTCGCCCGACTCCGGCTGCATCGCGCCGTTCCCGGCGGAGGGGAAGGAGAACGGCCGCGCGGAGCGGACCGCGGATCAGCACCCGCAGGCGAAGGACAGCTCCAGGCGGGATCAGCACCAGGACAGCGACCCGCGCCCAGGCCTCGCGGTGCTGCCGCGCCTCGAGCCGCCGCCGCCGCAGGCGCCCTACACCGAGGGCGTGTTGGGGCGCCGGGGGCCCGGGCCGGGCAGCGCCGGTGCTGGCGGGGCGACCGAAATCTTCGTGTGCCCGTATTGCCACAAAAAGTTCCGTCGCCAAGCCTACCTGCGCAAACACCTGGGCACTCACGAGCCGGGCTCGGCCCGCGCGCTGGCTCCCGGCTTCGGTGCCGAGCGCAGGGCCGCGCTCGCCTTCGCCTGCCCCTTGTGCGGGGCGCACTTCCCGTCCGCGGATGTCAGAGAGAAGCACCGGCTGTGGCACGCTGTCCGCGAGGAGCTGCTGCTGCCTGCTCTGGCCGGGGCTCCTCCCGAAGCGCCGGGCCCCGGAGGGCCGTCTGACGGAGGCGCGCAGCAAATTTTCTCGTGCAAGCACTGCCCGTCCACTTTTTTTAGTTCCCCGGGACTGACCCGGCACATCAATAAGTGCCACCCCTCAGAAAGTCGCCAAGTATTGTTGCTGCAGATGCCGCTGCGGCCTGGCTGTTGAGCTCCGAGAAACCAGGACGTTTCAAGGCTGGCCTGGGAGCAAACGGATCATGGGAACTTCTGTGGGGCTTTCTTCAACTTGCAAGTTGTACTCTTTCCTTCCCATGTTTTCCCTCCCAAAGCTCTCCTAGTAGTCAGTGTCCCACCAGGGAAGAGCAGGTACGTATACGGCAAAAACATTCATGGTCGAAGACTCTCAGCTGTAAAGTCCCTTTCACTTTCCCCACCAAAATAGGATTTCCCCCACCTCAAAACTCTGCAGACCCTAACGAATCCTATATGGTTTGTAATTCCTATGGAAAGTCACAGTGAATGCGTGCATGTCTCAATGTCTACAAAAGGTTCTGGCTACCAAAAATGGTAGTCACATTTTGTTGTTTTCCTCTTGCCATCACAGGCGCCTGTGTAGTTTCTGTCTCAATAGGGTCAGATATCTTGCATTGTATATTCTGTGAATTAAAAGTTATGTGGTTGGTGCCAAACTTGCAGGAGGCAAAAGACTCAAAGTCGTGGTCCAGGGGCAGGAAATTTAAGAGGATGATGGTGTTCTTGAGGGTATGAGAACTTCCCCCCAAACCTTTTAAATTATATGTTGTGCTTCATTCTTACAGTAGTTTTTGCAGGCAGGGAGGGTGCTATTTTACTGGAAGGAGACAGTCTCCAAATTCTTACTTTTTGCTATTCTATGTGCAGTATTCTGGAAGAGCTACTTTAAATCTGTTTACATAGCTTTTTGGAAATACTGACTTTCCTGAAGTCTGTTTTTAAGGTTTCACCCCACATCATTTAATGTTTGTTGTAAATCTCATGCTGTATATTATGTATGAAACTATGTTCAGCTTTTAAAGATGTTAATACCTGTAAAACATAGAACTGAATGGCAGTTTACTCAATATTCAGTATTTTCTTTCCAGCAGCAGCTTTTGAATTTCTTTTTGTAAACTGTATTCCGTGTACTCTGTACCCATTCCCCTAAACCTATAGTTTGGGGCACTAGCTGCGCACTGCTCGACAGATAGCTCAGATCTGTAAGATGCTTATCACCAAATAAATGTACATAGACTGCTTTTTGTTCTGTATTTGTCTTAAGAATTGGTTGAACATGGTGTATTTTCAAAGCCACATTTCTTATCTCCCCAGTGCAGTGATTCTAATGCCTCTTAGAATCTTAGGGTCCATTTAGAATACAAAGGCAGGAGATATATTTTTGCAAATGAATGTAAAGGTGCAGTATACAATAAGAAATTTTCCTTTGAAGCATAGTGGCACAGACTGAAGTTCTAAAAAGCAGAGTATGTTAAGTCTAGAAAGATACTTCTTCTACAAATTGATAGAAATGTATTTTAAATATTTTCTGTAAAAAGACCTACTGAACAGTTATTTAAAGATCACACAAATTTTAATGGTACTAATCTCAATATTTCAAGTTGGTATTTTCAGCCCATTTTGTGACATATTAGCGATCTACTAGACGCTTATTTAAAATAAAGTGAAAGCACCTTAGAAACATTTAAGCAGTTAAATTTGATGTTCCTTTTTATATTTCTCCACCTTAATAGTGGGAAATTGTCTATAATGTTTAATTTTACTCCCAGGGACTTTACCAATTTATTAATTGGAACTTTAGTTTTAATTATAAGAAAACAAAAAGTTAAGCGCACAGGAACTCTGAAAAACTGTTTTAGAAAAATTCAGGAGTTTTATTTCTGGAAGTATATTATAAAACAATGTGAAATTTAAGAAACCAGACAAACATTTAGCTGAGATAAACTGATGTTTTAATCCAGTGCCCTGGGTGAAGTTTTTGGCCAGCTCTGGTGAAGGTGTAAAATATTTTGTTTTTAAAGCTGTGGTAGGATCTTTGAGAAGTAGGTAGGAGGGTGTCCTGGAAAGGGAATTTAAATTCATTTTTCATAATTACCTAAGATAACCTAAGTTTATGCTTTATGTCACCAGTAGTCATACAGCCCTGCTTATTAAGTCTGAAAATTATAAAATACATACGAAAATAATGGACAGGAAGTGATAGTAAGAATATTTTTATTGTTTTATTAAATAGCATGTCATCTTTTTTATCCCCCCCTTGTTACAAATTTGTAGACACTACATGAATGATGATACATAATTTGTACTCTATGGTTTGTCGGTATGATGTATTTACACATGCAGTTGGTACTGATGTCATGCTACATTTCCTTAGAAGATGCTCAATTTTAAAAAAATGTGAGCAGCTTATCTACGAGAGGAAAATGCTTCTGGAGGGTGGAATGTATACCAACTTGCACATGCAAGTTCAGTATGAACAATATTAGATTTAACTTATATTGCTGGGTCATGTTCCCTTTTCTTGTAAAATAATACACATAATTTGAGCAACATATTTATATCAGAAAAGTTTTTTCCTTCTTCCCACCACCTTATTTTTGGTGCTTAAAAAGAATAGAGATATACCAGGACCTATCAGCCAATATTAATGGGCTACAATCTCAAAACAAATAATAGTTAATGGTGGTACCACTTAAAAAGCAAAACAATAGAAAATTATTTGGACGCTAAACAGAAATCAAAGTTTAGCAGTGATTTTTCTAATTATCTGATATGCATGGCATCATCTACATAGTCAAGAAATGAAAAACTGCCTTGAGAAGAAAAAGTTAACATTAAAATTATTTGAGTTGGAATTTGAGATACTAAATGACCATTTAACTTTGAGTGTTTTATTTTTGTGACATACATAATCTGTACATATACTGTTTATTAACAGATCTGTTAACTATAACTTTATAAATGCTTAAGTTTAATTTTACATTTGTAAAAAATTTATATATTTATTGAACCATAAAGCTGCAATGGGACACAATAAATAAAATGAGACTATCTGTCCAATTATATTTTGACTCAATGTTAATCATGAAGTTAAAGGTAAAATTACTTAGACATAAGTATCTAGGAAGGTAAAGAGCATAGAATAAAACTCCACCCCCCCAAAACAATGCCAGTTTGGAATGTAGGGGAAAAAATGAACTGAATAAATAGCCCAAATCTAAAATATTAAGTTACAAATTATTTAAGTCCAGTGTTTTCTCAAATAAATGCACAGGAAAGAACATGCACGGTACAGCATATATGAAGGCCTGAAAGGGTTAACACTATGCTCGTGCTAAGGTGGCTACTGCTGATCACACTGCTGAGCTGCTTGTCTCCTTAGGATTTATTGGCTGAGCCAGAGGAACGACGCAGCTTCATGGACATGCGGCTTTTGCTAGTTCGTGGAGACATTGGAGAGGCCAGGTCAGCCCCATCTACCTGCGTTGCTGTGGGAGCTTCACTGGGTAGAATCTCTGGGTAGAAGCCTGTAGGAAACAGCAAGAACATTAACAGTCACCCAGCCTCTCATTCTATAAGAAAATAACTTGTCTGCTACTAATCTGGAGTGAGGATCCCAAGCCTTAATGAAGTCTTGAGAGAAAAAGAGAGCCCCATATGTTCTAGTTACAGTAGCCTACTGATGTGTTTAAAGCCCAGTGATCTGGTGGGTCATGTCATCATGTTAGCAAGAAAGCACCCATCATCATCTCCAGAGCCAGCACCCTGGAAAAAGCAATGGGAAGCAAAGTTTTTGGACCAGAACAGGGATCCAAAGCACTTCTGGCATGCAGGAAAGGACACAAGAAGCAGGTTGAGAAAGACCCATTTCTGTCTAGGGTTCAGGGTATAATTTTTAAAAAAGTGCCTTCATTACTCAAACTGGAAGAAAACAGAACCTACAGTTCTAAACAGGTTCCAAAGAACTACTCAATACTTATGAGACCATTATATATCCTAGGTATTTAAATTGGGTTTAAAAAGAGGGAAGACAAATTCTTAAAGAGGAAAAAAGATCACAATTCTTATCTCAAAAATCAGTCCAAAAACATAAAGTGACCTCAGATAAAGTCTTATGTTAAAAGAGAAAAGCAACGTTTGCTTTTACTTTAAGTTTTTCAGTTACACTGTTGGTAAACGGTAAAATTAGTAGATATAGAATTTTAAAGCAAGCAACCAGGCACGGTGGTGCACCTGTAATGCCAGTACTCAGGGGGCTGAGGAGGAGAATCACCACCAGTATGAAGCAAGCCTGGGCTACACAGAGAGTTCAAGGTCAGCCTGAACTACATAGCAAAAAAAAAAAAAAAAATCAAAGCAAGCAAAAGAAATCAGATAGGAAAAGCCTTTCTGTTGCTTTGAGAGTATTTTTTACCTCTGTACTTTATGAACTATGACTCTACAATACACAGCAACAATAAAGAACCTTGCACACTGTAGGTTCAAAGAGTAAATGAGTAAGACAGTAAGAAAAACCCTTTAGAAAAATACCCTCTACAAATAAAACAAGAAAATTTAACTTGTTTCTATATATTTCAGGGTACTTTCATCCATATTTTTTTCTGGGCTTAAGTACATGAAAAAATGTATTTCTGGGAAGCAGTTGTGCTTAAGTAGAAGTTACAACTATTTCTAACAAAAAATGCTCAGTGAAGAGTGCAGAACTTATGGGATATCTAAATTAAAATGTATCTTTACAGAACACTCAAGGTGTTTTTTAAGGCCAAATGTTTTAATTAAAAACAAACATATATACATCTCCAAACATGTTTTGCCATTTATAATCCATGTCAACTGCCTTCTTCAAGGTAACTTCTCTAACATTCTCTTTTCTAATTGCAATGGGACTGGCCTTCTAAATAAAAGGATAAAGTATAGTTTTGTTCAGTTTTACTCTTCCTGAAGATCTGAAGTGGTGGGTACTGAAAAATCTAGAGAAGAATATAGATCAATGGCCCATTTGGGGAAGCCCTACAGATGGACGGCAAAGGAAGGCGAGGAGCAGTAGCTCATGCTTTTCTGATAATGTGTAACATCCCGGCCATCGGGAGAGGCCTTCCCATGGCTGTTTACCTTCAGACGGCCAATGGTTTCTAGCGGAGGTTTTGGGAGGAAGAGAACTATCACTGCATTTCTTTCTTTGTTGTGAATGAAGAAATGGAGTAGCAAGCAGAAGTGAGAAAACAAAAGAGAAGACAGATGACAGAAATGAGAGACACAGTGCACAACTTTACACATGTTAACTGAGGGGCAGAGGAGAGAGCGACCAGGTTTTTATTATGAAACACAACGGGGCATGCAATGAGTTAGGCTGACAATGCTTCACAACTGTCAATACTTTGTGCATTCAAATGTTATACTTACCAACTAACAAAACAAGTTCAAATAGGAAAAAAGAAAAGAAGAAAAACCGTCTATGAGAGATTCTATAAACATGTACTTTTTAAAAGTATTCATTGTACTGGTGCCACTCAGAAAATATTTAGAGATGCCCTGT